ATGGGTGCATAGAGACTACTGCTCTGGCCATGGTTACAGCTGGAAGGATTGCATTTGGCTGTCTCAGAGCCCAAGCCCATTGTTTTTTCTTTTTTTAAAGATTTACTTATTTTATTACAAAGTCAGATATACAGAGAGGAGGAGAGACAGAGAGGAAGCTCTTCCTTCCAATGATTCACTCCCCAAGTGACTACAACGGCTGGAGCTGAGCCAATCTGAAGCCAGGAGCCAGGTCTCCCACGTGGGTCCCAAGCCCATTCTTAACCATTGCAGGGGAGGTATCCCCCAGGCCAGAACTTAGAGGATAGAAAATGGGAGTGGCAAAGATAAGAGAGGAAGTCAGCTTAGGGTGCAAAAACAGAAAAAGACCTTGTTCCATCTATGCACCCCAAAATTTCGGCAGCTGCGTCCAACAGGACAGAATGCAGTTTGCTTTTCAACATGAGGGGGAAGTTGAGCACCCACACATCAGTTTCATTTAACTTTCACTTTACACCCTACTGAACACAACGTCCAAACACTACTTCTATTTTTTTAAAAAAAAAAGATTTATTTATTTATTTATTTGGAAAGATGTATTTACAGAGGGCAGGAGACAGAGAGATAAAGATCTTTCAACTGCTGGTTCACTCTCCAAATGACTACAATGGCTGGAGGTGAGCCTGTTGCGGGCTCTAAGAGAGATCATGCCAGATAAGTCTAGGATGTATTAAAGAGTCTTCAGTAACCAAGCTTGGTGATAACAAGCCTCACTAGAAATTAGCAAATGACAAGTCCAGTGGCAACCCAGTCTGAATCAAAACCCTAAGAGGAATAAATGGCCATTACCATGAAACCCATCGATTGAACTGAAGACTTTTGTCCCAGTTTCCCCAGCCAATGTAAGTTATCCTGAGACATGCAGCAAACAACCTGGACACACTTACAAAGCTGCAAACATTTGCTTTTTCCTGACTTCTCTGTCCATATTCCATTACTGCTAGGCCCTACCTCTCCTGGAACTCTTGAAAGCACACAAATTAGAAACACAAAGCTTCTTAACATTAACATCTTTACTCTCCTGTCCAAACAATGAACACAGAGCAAGGAATACAGACATTACAGGGTCCTTGCTCAGAGGCTACCTGTCTCAGGATCTGTCCGCAGGAAGACAGAGACCAAACAAGTACTGGGAAGGCCAAGAGTCAGAGTGCAAGAACAACAGAAACATGCGATCGAGACAGCCTCTCCCTATCATGGGATTGTGAGGAGAACAATTACGCAATAATGCGATAATGCAGGTGATGATAGGTGAGCATCACAGGTAGGCAGAAAGGACCACATATGTCAGAGGTAGGAGTGGTTTCCAAGCTCGTGACCCTGAACCAGCTGCCTAGGACCACAACTAGCCAATCCAAAGCCAGGAGCTTCTTCCAGGTCTCTCACATGGGTGCAGGATCCCAAGGCTTTTGGTCATCTTCTACTGACCTCTCAGGCCACAAGCAAGGAGCTGGATGGGAAACAGAACATTCGGGGCACAAAGCAGCACCCATATGGGATGCTGGCGCTTGCAGGAGGAGGAGGATTAGGCAAAATAAATATTATTTGATATTTGAGCCAGGCGCTCCAAAACTACTTCCAGCTCTCTTGTGAACTGGAGAACTCCTGTGTGTGGACTGAGCCTGACCCAGGCCTGTGGCTGAACCTCTTAGCAGATATCTAAATCTTTTGCTTCAGGGGTTGGAAGGCCTCTCTGATCCCTACATGTTTCCTTTGGCAGTGACTAAAACCTCTTCATAACCTCCCAAGGGCTTAATCCCATTAGTCATTGTTGAAAGTTTGTTCTTACCCTTAATAATCTTACATCTTAAACAACAGGATAAAGCTACCCTGAGAAAGATAGAAGCAGCAGGTTTCATAAACAAGACCTGGACTTTGAATACATTACTTATTCTTCTTTATGTAAACATGCAGGTTATTTGTCACTGAAGAACAAGGTGACCTTTCCAAATACCTGTCTTACAAACTCAAGGTATAAGTTTTTAAGCAGGAAATTCTCCAAATCACTGCATTCTCAACCTTTACACTGAAATTCAATTCATATGCCACCCTCATCATTATCAGGTTAAAGTGTGTATTTCTGTGTTTTTTAGTGTTCTCACAAAGTTGTGCAGCCATAACTACCATTTCATTCCAGAGCACTATGATCACCCTAAAAAAAAAAACCACGTGCCCATTAGTAGTTACTTCCTGTTGCCCTCACTCCCGGCAGTCACTACTTGCTTTAGTGGCTTTTGGGTGTGAGGCTATTTTCAATTTATTTCTGACCTCTCCCTTGAAAAACAACAACATGTCAATTACTATCTGGCAGGGTACTTTGTCACACATGCTTTAGGGAGCATGTTGACAATTCACTTAGTCCCATGTGACTGTTTTTTTTTTGGAAACAACAGGATCTCATTCAGCATGGCACAGAGCATGCTCAGTTCAAGGACCAAAGTGAAATTTCATCTAGAATTTGTCTGATGTTGACATATTTTAAAAATTTTAATTAATTAATTTTATTTTTTAAAAAAGATTTATTTTTGTAAAAGATTTATTTATTTTTATTACAAAGTCAGATGTACAGAGAGGAGGAGAGACAGAGAGGAAGGTCTTCCGTCTGATGATGCGCAGATCCAAAGCGAGGAGCCAGGAACCTCCTCCAGGTCTCCCACACAGGTGCAGGGTCCCAAGGCTTTGGGCCGTCCTCGACTGCTTTCCCAGGCCACAAGCAGGGAGCTGGATGGGAAGTGGAGCTGCCGGGATTAGAACTGGGATACGAACTGGTGCCCATATGGGATCCGGGCGTGTTCAGGCGAGGACTTTAGCCGCTAGGCCACGCCACCGGACCCAATTTATTTATTTTTTTGATGTTGAAATCTCTTTTTAAGTTTTGTTTGGTGTTGAAATCTTTTTTAAAAAGATTTATTTATTTTTATTGCAAAGTCAGATATACAGGGAAGAGGAGATATACAGGGAAGAGGAGATACAGAGAGGAAGATCTTCCATCGGATGGTTCACTCCCTAAGTGAGCGTAAAGGCCAGTGCTGTGCCAATCCGAAGCCAGGAGCCAGAAATCTCTGGAGATCTGGTGCGTTCAAGGTGAGGACTTTAGCCACTAAGCCATCGCGCCAGGCCCCCCCATACTGGAACTTTTTATCAACAACAAATTTTTGGAACATTCATCCTGACACTTCATTCTACACAAGCACCACATGAGGCCTCATGACTCTCAGTGAAAAAGACTACTTTGTAGTCATTATAACGCCCCAGAAACAAGAAACAAAAGGCAAAGAAAAAACAAAGACCCTCCTCATGTTAGACAGTCATCTTTTTGGGGTACTTACTTAATCTGTACATGCCTCAGTTCTCCTTACATCCAAAATGACGTATAATCCCATCCCTTGGTAATAGTAGTAAATTCAGTACTTGTATTATAGTTTTGAGAGCTTTGGTTCAGACAGCTTGGACAAGAGAGGGATTCAAATGTGGAGGGCCCTGAACTGTTGGCTGATGCCATGTATGGAAGCTCTCTCCCTCCTCCCCCACCCCACACTGCCCCCTCGCTTTGTGTCCCCTTGTAACTCCGCAATTCTTTCAGAATGGATACATAAACCTTAACATTTATAATAATAAATATTTGGCTGAGTAGGACCTTCACAGAATGGAGATGTGTAAAGATTTCTTTTAGTGAAGGTTCTTTTTTTTTTTCCAAGATTAATTTTATTGCAAAGTCAGATATATAGAGAGCGGAGGACAGACAGAGAGGAATACCTTCCCACCCATGATTCATTTCCCAAGGGAGCACAAAGGCCAGAGCCGATCCAAAGCCAGGAGCCAGGAGTTCTTCCAGGTCTCCCACACAGGTGCAGGGTCCCAAGGCTTTGGGCCATTCTGGACTGCTTTCCCAGGCCACAGCCAGCATTAGAACTGGCACCCGTATGGGATCCTGGTGAGTTCAAGGAGACTACTTCAGCCGCTAGGTCACCGCGCCGGGGCCTGATAAAGGTTCTGGAGCAAGCCATAATCATTACCAGTGTCCTCAGAGGACAGCGGGCAGCAGTGAGTAGGAGAGGAGAGTGAGGAAAATAAGAAGTTACGGGAGTCTTGGGAAGCTCTGGACAAGGCTAATAGTAATTACAGTGGCAGTGGAGGTTGTGGGAGCAATTCAAAAGGTGAAGCAGAGAAGCAACCTACCATGGAAGCAGTAGAATTTCCAGGAAGAGGAAAGATTGATTAGGACTGAGGTTTCCAGCTTACACACTGGACTCTGGTGATGTCATTAACTGAAAGGAAGCAGGGAGTTGGGTGTGTGCAGCAGATGAGGTGGGGCAAGGGTTGGGAAGCATTTTGTCTGATTTGAGGCTCCGTGTGGAGCGATTCCAGCTGACATAGGAGACCTGGGGAGATTTGTTGGCATTAAGGAAAGAAATATTCATAATGAGAACAGCTCCTTTCGCTCTCTGTCCTTTTTTTTTTATAGCGCTCCCATTAGCGTCCCAAACCCCGAGGCAGTTATTACCTCGTCAGCAGTAAAAGCTTGATTACAGCCCCTGACTGTTTACTGTGTGAAGGTCCATGGTTCCCGTAACTTCCATAAGCAAGCTGGTATTAATTGTGATTAATTATCGTACGGCTCAACACAAAGAGGAGATGAGCGGCTGTGGCTTCCGGAGGGCTCGGGAAGCATTTCTTGCCGGAGCCTTTAGGGCAAAACAACCGGACAGCTCTCCCGTGTGGCCGAAGGGTCGCAGCACCGGCAGTCGCAGGCTGCCTCAGCCGACCGGGTCTGGACCATCCGTCTGTCGCAAGCTTCGGAGCTTCGACCTTGTTCCCCGGGCGCTGACCTCCCTCCTCCGCGATCGCGGATCCCCCGCCCCCCCCCCCGGGAGCATGGGGAGGGGCGGGGCTGCGCCGGGCCCCGCCCCTCCGGCCCCGCCCCACCCCGTCGCTGCCGCCGGCTCCCTCCGGTTGCCGGTGCAGTGCGCGCCTGCGCTAGCCCTCACCCCGGAGCAGCCATGATGGTGGGTGTTCTCCGCGGCGCCGAGCCCCGGGCGCGCGGTGGGGACGGCGGGCACGGGGCGGGCGCGGGGACCGCTCCGGCCTGGCACTAATGTCTCCCTTTGTGTCTCCCCCTTCCCACCTTCTCCCTCCCGGCGCGCTGGGCCTGTCGACCCCGCAGGAAGGCCTGGACGACGGCCCCGACTTCCTCTCTGAGGAAGACCGCGGAGTAAGTTTTTGCCGCCTCCTCTCTCGGAACCTTCCTTCCTCTGCCTCGGCTCCTGGGTGTGGTGTGGGGAGGGGTCCCCGGCTGCGCTGCACCTCCTCCCCGGCGTCGTCCTTTGGGGTTCTTCACCGCCCCGCGCCCCGCCCTCCTCAAGCCCTCCCTCCCTGGGGGGGCCACACCGACCCTGATTTTCCCCGGGACCGGCGGCCTCTTTCTTGTCCCCCTAACCGAGGTGGGACCCTCCTTTGGTCTTCCTGCCCCCTTCCAGGTCGGGGTGCAGATAGAGAAGTGAAGATGGGGCCTGGAGCGCTAACGCCCCCACCCTGGCCACTTTGGGACGACAAAAATCACTTCTCACACCTTCCCGGCCTCACCCTGGGTTTTCTCGCAGTGTAGACCTCTCAGAGACCCTCTGCTACACGCTCTCCGCCCCCTCTCCCCCAACAGTAGGAGCTTATTTTAAGTTATCCCCTTGCAGTGATTTTTTATTTTACAATCGCCTAATCTGGACTCTTCTTTAATACTCTGCTAGATTTTGCAAAGTGCTTGTAGCCCACCGCACGTTTTCTATAATCAAAAGAAAACTCCCCAAACGCATGTTTTGTAAGGGTTTACTGGTTTTGTATTCCCTTCTAGCTTTATTGGTATATGATTCATAAATTATATATAATATATATTTTTAAGGCATGTAACGTGTTTTGATGCACGTTTATGTTGTGATGAACACAGTCAAGCTAACAGATCCATCCCCTCACCTAGTTAACAGTTTTGTGAGTGAAAACACTTGGGACCCATCCTTAGTTAGCAATTACAGTTACTATGCTGTACAGCAGATCTTCGGAACTTACCTTAGGAGCTGAGATTGTACCCTTTGACCAACATTTCCCTTTCTCAGCCGCTGCCAGGCCTTCCTAATCTCTGTTTTACCCTTGGCCTTCTGAGGCAGGTTGCATTCCATTTGAGAAAGGGCCTTCCTGATGCGAGTCCTCCCTCTCTCTCCTTCCCCTCCCCCCATTTGCCTTGGCTGATGTAAGGTGCCTTGTACCGGTGAGCACTTGAAAAATATTGATATGATAATTGGCACCCCACAGTCTCGTGATTGCTTCACATCTAACAGCTGGCACTTTAGCCTTCTGTTTTGTTTTTCGTTACCCATGTGTTTCTGGAGGGGATCGATAGGTATTGTTGCTATTAATAATAGGAGATGAGCTTTCTACAGCTTTAGATATCTGGAAAGTATGGTACAATGTGGCTTTATAAATGATCCATTAATCCAGTTTGCACAAAAGCATTACGTAGAAAATGACCCATTGCTTCAAAAATTCAGTTTCTTGTGAATCACAAGATGATGTATTTGTGTAAAAGCATGTGTATCTTCTGGGATAAGAAAGGAAAATGAGATGAACACATTATAGCTTTCATTTTATATTTTTAAATAGGGGAGATGAGTTAATGACCTGAGAAATTGATTATAGCACAACTATACTGAGTTTATCTACTTTTTTTTTTTAAGAAAGCAATTCTGTGTCTTATTTTTCTGAACTACCAGGAAAAGCAAACAGAATTTGCTTTGGGTAAAATCTGACCAGTATTTCATTAAGCATTAGCTTCTGAGATATTTGCAATGAGGAGCTGAGAAATGAGCATGTTCTGCTGATTATTTGTGTTCATGGTTCTGTGCCTTTGGTAGGATTTGCTATGGAGTAGGAAACTTTTTGCCGTGTCTGGAAACTTTTTTGTGTATTACAAAATTAAAGGGAGAGGAAGATAAAGAACATGCCTGATGAGAAATTCATGTAGAATTGTGTACATGAGACTTTTAGCTTGAAGATGGGGAAAAATCATGCATTTGGATAATTTTAATCCTATTTTGATTGGAAAGTCAGATATGCAGAGAGGAGGAGAGACAGAGAGGAAGATCTTCTGTTCACTGATTGACTCCCCAAGCGGCTGCAATGGCCGGAGCTGATCTGCTCCAAAGCCAGGAGACAAGGAGCTTCCTCCAGGTCCCCCACATGAGTGCAAGGTCCCAAGGCTTTGGGCCATCTTCGACTGCTTTCCCAGCCACAAGCAGGGAGCTGGATGGTAAGCGGAGCTGCCGGAATTAGAACCGGCACTCATATGGGATCCCTGCGCATGCAAAGTGAGGACTTTAGGTGTTAGGCTACTGCGCCAGACTTGGCTTTTAATTTTAGAAGGTCTTGATGAATACATAGATGTGTCTAGTTTGTTCTTACTTTTGTCCTGTGGAATTGGGTGAGTCACAGTAATAATTATAAATGGGTACTGTGTTAGGCACTTCAAAAGATGTTTCCTTCTTTTTTTTAATTTCTCATTGTCTTCTGAACCTATCCATAGCCCCCTTATGTAGCAGTGAGTGACAAAGCTGGACTTCACGCTGCTTCTCTCACGTCTGGGTGGGGTATGTTCTTGCAAGGTGGCCTTAAAATACTTGCCTCAGAATCACCTAGGCTGTTGGGGGAAATAAAAGCTTCTGAATAGTATATCTTTGCTAAATCTGAATCTCATGGAGTGGAGAAAAGGGGAGATGAATGCATTCATTGCCCACATGGAATGCTGATGTCACAGGTGGAGGCTTGCCTTGCTGCATCACAGATAACTGCATTTTTAACAAGTACCCAGGAACTTCTTCCAGGTCTCCCCACATGGGTGCAGGGTCCCAAAGCTCTGAGCCATCCTCAACTGCTTTCCTAGACCACAAGCAGGGAGCTGGATGGGAAGAGGGGCTGCCGGGATTAGAACTGGTGCACATATGGAACCCAGCTAGGTTATCATGCTGGGCCCAGTAGTTTTTTTGTTTAAAGATTTCTTTTTTATTTATTTATTTTTTTCATGGTGGAAAAGTTTATTAGGGGCATCACACTTTATACACTGAAGGTTATGTGGGATAAGGGAGGAGGTATTGAGCTTATCAACAAAACCCATCAACATTTGTATACTTTTGTTTGGAACTCCTTTTGTTTTGTTTATTCCACCAAGTGTTATCATTCACTGAGCTGTTCTCATACAAGTGATATCCATTTAGTTATACAAAAGGTATAGCCACTATGCTATTGCACCAGGACCAAGTCAGTAATTTAAAATATTTCATAAGTGTTAAGTTAGAATAGAATCCTTGAGCTTTAAGAAAACTTTTGTGAGAAATCAAAAAGGTAGGCTTTAAAAATACCCAATGTTGGGCCCGGCACCGTGGCCTAGTGGCTAAAGTTCTCGCCTTGAACGTTCCGGGATCCCATATGGGCGCCAGTTCTAATCCCAGCAGCTCAACTTCCCATCCATCTCCCTGCTTGTGGCCTGGGAAGGCAGTTGAGGACGGCCCAAAGCTTTGGGACCCTGCACCAACGTGGGAGACCCAGAAGAAGTTCCTGGATCTTGGCTTCGGGTCAGGATAGCATCGACCGTTGCGATCATCTGAGGAGTGAATCAGTGAACAGAAAATTCTCTCTGTAATCTGACTTTGTAATAAAAAGAATAAGTAGATCTTTAAAAAAATATCTGATGCTGAAAATCATTGTTCATGTTTTGATTTCTTTTTTTTTAAGGCTTATTTTTAATTTACTTTTAAAAGGTAGAGTTATCAAGAGAGGAGGAAAGGCAGAGAGATTTTCCATCTGCTGGTTCACTCTCCAAATGAGGTGGGCTAGGCTAGGCTGAAGTCAGAAGCCAGTCAGGAGCTGCTTTTGGGTCTCCCACGTGGGTGCAGGGATACAAGCATGTTACAAGCATTGGGGTCATCCTCTGTTTTAGCAGACACATTACCAGGAAGCTGGATTGGAAATGGATCAGCTGAAACTCAAACCAGCATTCACGTGGGATGCTGGCCTAACTTGGTATGCCACGACACCAGCCCCATGTTTTGGTCTCTTTAAGCCCCAGCTCTACAAGATAGACTAACCCATTCATGAAAGACATATTAGTGAACACATGCATCTTTTTTAAAAAAATTGTTCATTTTCATCTACTTACAACAGAGAACTTTTCCGTTCTCTTCCTCATTCCCTGTGTGCCAGACTGAAGCCTGGATCCTGGAATTCCATCCTGTACTCAGATGCAGGTGCCCAGGGCCAATCTCCTGAGCTGTGATCTGCTGCCTCCTGGGATGCAGTAGCAGGAAGCTGGGTTAGAAGCAGAGGAGGGACTGACACCTTGGCCCTAGTAAGTGGGGCTGCTGCCTAGGCTTGTCTGAAGCCAGGTACCTGTTGTAGTCCCAGATGTTCCACTTCTGATCCAGCCCACCTGCTACAGTGCCTGGGAAAACATCAGAGGATAACCAGCTGCTTGGGTCTTACCCACACGGAAAGCTTAGAAGAAGCTTCTGGCTTCTGGGTTGGGGCTAGCCCAGTTTTGGCCATTGTGGGCGGCTGGGGAGAGAACCAGTGGATGGAAGATCTTTGTCTCTCTGAGTACTTTGCCTTTCAAATAAACCAAGTAAATTTTTCTGTAAAATGGAAGGAAAGAATAGAGGAGACAGGGTAAAAACTGTCCCTGTAGTTTGGAATGTGGGCATTCCGAGCAGTAGTTTAAAGTGATGAGTCTTAGTGTCTGCCCCTAAATGAACCCTTTGAGCTGGACGCATTTTGCTCCAGTATGCTTGTTAAATAAGAGCAGTGCATGCCAGAATTATACTTGGCTTGTATAATTTAATTTCGTTCCTAAATAATATGTTTATTGCTTTCAAAAATTACTTTAGATGGAATAACTACATCATTTCCTGGACCCCAGGCTTCTCTCTTCCCTCTCTATTCCTTCTCTTCGTTAGTGGCGTCATTCTCTAATTGTACGAGAAACCTCTGAATTATCTTGTAGCCTGAATAGTATTGAGGCTAGTGAATTTCACCTGGGAACTTTTTCCCTTATCTTTTATTTGTATGGCCTCTGTTATAGAGTCCTTGCTGTTTACTTCTTGCCTGGGTCATTATGTATGTTAAAACACTTAAGATCTACTTTCAGTAATTTATTATTAAATGTCACAATTACTAAAC